GGTTCGCTCGTTGACTGCCAACTTGAACCCTAAAACTTACTTACTAAGTCCCATGATCCTCCAAGTAGGGTTTAGGGTTTCGGCTTAGGGTTCAAAGTTCAAAGTCTCATGAAGTAGACTGTCAGAGTTCAGACCTACGCGCACTGAAAGGCCCTCTAGCGGCTTCTTGGTTTTTTTTGGCAAGGCTTTCCAGTGCGCTAAACACCACGTATCTATCTATCTATCGATCTATCTATCTATCGATATACATATATATATATATACATATGTATATAGCACAGCATAGTACAATGTACAATGTAATATAATATCACACAGTACAACCACGGCATGCACTTTGGTCCTACAGGGGGTTCCATAGTATGACCTGGAAACTGTACGTCTACGGGTAAAGGGGCATTTCAGGGCGGAACCCGAAGACGCTAGAATCGGAAAGTCGCATGGTGTCCGAGATGTCCGTCAGAAATGGCTAGATCGAATCTCCAAAGAACGCAAACCCTAAACCCTAGAAACCCGCAGTCGCATTCGCTAACTGCCAGGCAAACCCTATCTGGCTAATCAAGCAACGCATCGCGAGCACTTCGCCCCGAGCCCCAGCCGCTTCTCCGTCACGTGGGGTTTAGGGTTTCGGTTTTCGGGTTCAGGTGGGTAGTTATAAGTGGAGTTATAAGTCCCCTAATATGGGTTATAAGTATAGTTACCCTACGGATAACCCTACTTCTATAACTACCCATGAACCCCCAAGTATGTCCCTGCTCTGAACTTCATGTCGCAGTCTTGCCCCCAATCGGTGTGCTTCACACCATGACTTGCCTTCCATCGCAAGAGACCTCTCTTAACCCTGATTCCATACAACCGAAGCATAAGTCAATGCCGATCCCTACACCCGAATGTCCTGATATCTTGGGGGGGGGGGGGGTTACTTAATATGAACCCGAATATATTAGGGTTCTTCATTTTTATGAACCCTAAAATATTCGGGTTCTAGGGCCAGGGCTTCTTAATCTGGTTCCTACATTAATCCACAATCCTAAATTTCTGAACCCCAGGCCCATAAATACGAATTCCATACTCAACCCTTACTCTAAGGGTCCAAGTACCTGATAATCATATACTCTTCTGAATACTCACCTACAAAACTACTATCCGTAACCCAAGTACATGATTATTAGGTCCTTTGGACCCTTAGGGTTACCAGCTATCCCCGTCGGGGCACCGCATCGTGGACCTCAACGGGCGCAGCATCCATTAGGAGCTCCAGGGCTGTGTGCAAAACCTGCATAATTTGGGGTTTTAGGGTTTAGGGTTTAAGGGTTTTAGGAGTGTAAGAGTTTAGAGTGTGAGGTTCAGGGTTTGACGTTGTAGATATGTTCAGGTCGTGCTCATGGTTTTTGTTCAGGTTCTAGGCTTCAGAGCATATGGGGTGCATGGTTTTGGGCATAGGACTTACATGTTTAGCATCATTTCGGGGTGCCATAATTAGAGCTTTTTAACAGGTGGCACTCATCTGCAATGCTTAACGACAATGTTGAGGCCTCAATTTTTTTGAGACATCCTGAGTTTGGCTCAGGGTCAAGCGCTTTGAAGCCTAGGGTTTCAATGTAAGTGGGACGCATGGGATTCTTTGATCTGCTCATGCGGTGATTTAGCCGGCTGCCCTTGAGTGTCTTCACGTAGAGCCTTAAAACCTCAAAAAAGGCTAGAGACTTTGTAAAATTGCTTACTGGCGATATCTTTCAGTCATGGTCCGAGACACCAGAAACCGCCGTTGAAAGAGTCATGATCCGTCTTTGTGTGCGGCGCATACAGTTGTTGAGCCGCCCTGCCAACCTCCGAGGTGACTGACTACTGTGTTCATCACTCTAGCCGCCCAAAGCATTACCCATGCTTACATGATTCGGGCTTTTAAATAATATAGGGTGAGAATCATAGCCACATGATGATTCCTAAGCCAATAGCGACTGCTACTCGTCCCTTGCCCCTTTTATTAAGCACCCCCCCTGATAATAACAACACATTGGGGCGAATCCTCCCGAAATCAACCCTGCCCTTAAAAACCTATTCTGAATTAGGGTGGAGGGTTTCGAGGCTCTAAATACACTTAGAGCACAGTAAGAGCAGGAGCAAAAGCAAATGGAGTTCGAGAAGAGCAGGAGCAAGAGCAAAAGCGGGAGCATCAGCAAGAGCAAAGCAAAAGCAAGAGTAAGAGCAAGAGCAGGAGCAACCCTAAACCCTAAACCCTAAACCCTAAACCCACAGCAAAAGCAGCAGGAGCAGGCGCAAGAGAGCCAGCAGAAGCAGGAGCAAAAGGGTTTAGGGTTTAGGGGTTTAGGGGTTTAGGGGTTTAGGGGTTTAGGGGTTTAGGTGTTTAGGGGTTTCGGGGTTTAGGGGTTTACGGGTTTAGGGTTTATGGGGTTACAAGTAAGGCACAAGGAGTCGAGGAGTGGGAGAAAGAGCCAGATCCTGAGTAAGAGCACGACCCCTCAAAAGTGGC